CACACACACACACACACACACACACACACACACACACACACACACACACACACACTTTTTGAAAACAAACAAATTGAGCAGCTCAATGTTTATCTCTCTGGCTGGACAGACCCGTTCGGTTGAACCGCTCACTTTGCCTAAAAAGATCCATCTCTGCCTAATTTTGTGTTTGTATTCCTGCATTGGGAGTCCTGCACATGTGCACGCTGCGTTCAGAGCTGAGCGCTCCTGTCAATCACTCGTCCGCGCTGTGTGATGTTAGAAAAAGCTGCAGCAGGTGAGACGAGACCCCAGATCAAACCAAACCTTTCCACCTGTTGTGCACATGAATTATGTTTTTATCAAAGTTTAAAAACTCTGTTCTCACGAGGACACGCTGCGCATGCAGCACATCACCTACAAACAGCTGGATCAGCATCAGAGCCATGTTAAATAAAGGGATAACCCGGCCATTTTTAAAACAGAGTTGCAGGTCCAAATTTATAACAAAGACCGCACATGATGTTAGTGCTTGGAGGAAGTTGTTTTTTTTTTTTTTATCAGGGGCAGATATACATTATTTTTTTCCTTCTTCTTTTTGCCCCTTTTTCATTCAATAATTGATTTACTTTGACTTTTTTAATGGTCTTTGTTGGTTTTAAAAATAAAATAAACACATAAATAAATGAATAAATACTCTCTACTTCTACCAGTCTACTTCTGAAGCCTCACACAGCAGCCCCAGCTGAAAAATAATCTTCTCTTCTATTCCCATGGAATTCAAGGATTAATATAATATTTTTAAAACAGCATGGGTTTTATGAGGGGGTCCGTGAAATTTTTCACTCTTGTATGCGGTCCCCAAACCCAAAATGTTTTAGAACCCCTTCCACTTGACTTATAAAATACCAAGTTACTTGTTTAAAAGTTTGTTTAACAGCCTGTTAAAATACACCAGAATGCAGGAAATGGCATTGAATTCTTGAATTCTTTCAAAATTTTTGGGGGGAGGACCCCCAGAACCCCCCACTAGAGTAATTTTACACACCGTTTTCTCCTTCATTAAATACCATGATCACAATTGTTTGTAAAGATCCAAATATGCAAACTGGATGATGACGTTATTTAGCAGTTTTTAATAGCGTCCCCAATACGGCTGCCACGATTAATCGATTAATCGACGACTAATCGATTATTAAAATAATCGTTTGTGGCAGCCCTAGTCCCCAAAAGCGACTTTTCTTTCTGAGGAGTTGGCAACAGTGTTCAGTGGCTCAAACTCTCACTCCAAGCTCACACCTGTGTTCTAGACAACATTAGAACTGCAAGTGACGAAAAACATCAAGCGGTCTTGCAAATGTGAATATTATGTAATACATATATAAATCTGAAGCTCCTATGTTGAATAGTTTCTGAGTTATAAATATTTTTGTTAGTCCAGACACCCCCTTTTTAATGGAGCCC